CATTATGGCAACAAGTGTCTACACTCAATGAAAGATCAACAAAGTTGGAAGAAACTTTTCAACAATTTATGCAGGTAACTATTTCCAACCACAAGAGCACTAAAACGACCATTAGAAACTTGGAGATGCAAGTAGGCCAAATAGCTAAGAAATTGGAATATATGACTGATAAGAATTTTGAGGCTAATACTGAGGTTAACCCTAAGGAAGAGTGTAAAGTTTTAGTGAGTGTGGATGTTGAAAAAGTTGAGTATGAGAGAAAAGAAGAAAAAGAAGAGAGAGTAGAGAGAAAGGAAGAGAGAAAAGAAGAGAGAAAAGAAGAGAGAAAAGAGGAGGATGAGAGAAAAGAAAAAGAAGAGAAGAGAGAAGAGAAAAAAATTGAAAAAATTCTTCCTTATCCAAAAGATTGTGAGAGAATAGACAAAGTGAGACAATATGGGCATTGTAAAGATTTCTTCAATCAAATGGATGTTGATCTACTTGTGAATGAAGCATGTTAACAATTTTCAGCTTAGGTAAATCATATGAATCAAATCTCCAAAAGAAAAAGATATATTGATGAGGAGATTAATGAGTGCAAAGCTGTAAAGAAGAAACTATATCCTCCAAAAATTAAAGATCCAGGAAGTTTTACCATTCCTTGCATTATAGGGAAGGAAAAGATAAGGAAAGCCCTACTTGATTTAGGGTTAAGTGTCAATTTAATGCCTTTATCTATACTTGAGCGAATTGGAGATCTTAAAGTTAAGCCAACAGAGATGAATTTGCAAATAGCAGATGGATCTTCAAAGGAGCCTTATGGTGTAGTGGAAGATGTTATGGTTTGTGTAGGCAAAATACAATTCTTGGTGGATTTTGTGGTGATGGAGATGGAGGATGAAAGGATTCCTGTTATTCTTGGAAGACCGTTTATGAAAATGGCAAAGGTCATCATTGATGTAGATGAAGGAATTATAGTGCTTCAGGATCAAGAAAAAAGGGTGGTTGTTGATGTCTTCAAAGAAGAGTAGCAGATGCAAAAGGAGGAGGCTAGTCATAAAGCTACATGTCAAGATGTACCCATGACTAGCTCTAAAGATGCAAAGCCAGACTTCAAAGGTAAAAATTGTTTCTTGTCACAGGTTAGGGAAAAAGAAAAAGATGGCAAAGGAAGGACAGTTCATGATGACTTAATGCAAGCACAACCCACACTTGGTAAACATGTAAGATTCAAGAACAAGTTATGGGTTGTGAAAGACTATAAAGAGAATGGAGTGATAGAGATAGAATCTCCATATTCAAGAAGAGTCAAAGAGGTGGACCGAAAGCAGTTGATGAGTTGGTGTGATGACAAAAAGATGAACACCAACATTGAAGATGGAACTTGAACTTTACTGGGTCAAGCTAGTGACGTTAAAAGAGCACTTGCTGGGAGGCATCCCAGTGATTTAAAAACATTGATTTCTTTAGTTTTTATTTTTGGTTAATGTACATTAGTGCAAAAAGGGCTTTAGACGTCTGTTATTTTGGCTTTTTAACGTCCGACCTATACCCAACGTCTTTGTGGGTGACGTTAGTCAGACGTCCGGCCTGACACAACAGACGTCTATATAGACGTCCGTTATGTCAGGCCAGACGTCTATATAGACGTCCGTTGAAGCCACCCCGGACGTCTATATGCCTGAACGAGTTGTTTAGGGATTAGGGGGTTTGGACGTCCGTTTGTGCACTGCCAGACGTCTGTCAGTGCACTAACCGACGTCTACTGGGCATTTTTTTTTAAAAATCAATTTATTTTTGCATTAAAACCACACCTGAAAAGCAGAAAATCGTCCCAGAACAATATATAGTATAGTATATTTGC